CCAAATGCGAGACCCGGTTGGTCAAATTTTGGGGTGCAACAATGTGTTCTCTCCTGTTGTGAAGCACAGATCCGTTCGAATATTGCTTACCATAGTGGCACAGTTCGACCTTGAACTGGAGCAGATGGATATGAGGCTGCATTTCGTCAGAGGGGTAATCGAGCATGGATAAGTCCAAGTGTTGAAGGTTTCGACATATCATAATGCTGCTGATATAATCACCAAGATGTTGCCAAGTTGCAAGTTTTTCCATTGTATGCTGTTGATAAAGCTGCATGAAGAAAGCTAGTTTCTTGATGTTATAGAGTTAGATCCAAGATGGAGATTTGTGATATGTTGGATTAAACTCTAGTATGGTCGAAGGGTAGCTTTTGGTTCGACAAGAATTAAGCATGAGGTCGAAGTATGTTCATATGCTGCTGTCGTAGTAATGCATGTTGTAGTCGAAGTTTGTTCTAACATGCATTAGTCAATATTGCTAGGGTTGTTATCATGTTGAATTGGGCCTTTCTTGTAAGCCCAATTGTTTAAGTTAGCTTGTACCCTAAGTTAGCTTGTAATGAGTAATTGTTAAAAATCCCATTATGTTAGTGCGCTATTTTTCTTATAAATAGGATGCTAGTTTCTCAATCTTGGTATAAGAAAAAAATAGGAAAATAAAATCCTAATTTCAAGAGAGAGAGGTTATTTTGTTATTCTTGTATACTTGTTGTTCCTTTGTTGTTTTACCTTGTTTTCTTTGTTAACCCTAACCCTTGTGTGTTTCTTGATCATAAAGAAATCGTTTATACTTTTTTTCAAGGTATCCGATTCATAACAATTATATTGAGTTATGATATATAGAAAGAGAAGATTAAATCGTTCAACTTAGAATTCAAGCTAATACAAATATTATTCAAATAGTTTACAAAGTGTGTATTGTTTTTTCACCATAATGGTTGGTGAGGATCATAATAGTATTTGGTGATTTTAAAGAAGGCTCTTTGAATTGAGATGAATCAAATTTCACCATAAGGTTTGATTTTTATGTTGTATTAAAAATAAAGAAGTGCTCTTTCTTTTTGTGTTTATGTATTAGAAGGTTGTAAAGAGGTCTTCGTGAATACTTGTACAAGGATCTAAACATAGTGGAAAATACTCTAAGAAGTAGAGGGATTAAATGTACCCTTAATTGGTAAAGGAAACTAATATAATTCTCTTGGGTCATTTATATTTATGCCTTTAATTTTCTGAATTTATCACTCATATAAAGTTGCAACCAATCACTTGTTTCTAGCACACTTAAAAGATAAGAAACTTTTCCTAAAATCAAGAAAAGTCCAACAAATCTAATTCACCCTTCTTAAATTGCTTCTCATACTTACATCAATTTCATAGAGGAAGGCTTACTTAGAGAAAGCCAAAGTTCTTAGAGGCAAAATGGAACCCTCCACATAAAATAATGATCCTTCAAGGATGAATACTTGGTATTCCAAGAAGAGGATGACAGTGGGCAAGATAAAAATCATTCGCATCGAGCATATTACGATGGGGAGGCTTGTTACTTCTAGAAAAGTCAAGTCGTCACTTACCAAAAGACACAAGGCAGATTTGGGGAAGGGTCTCCATATCAGTTTAGAGAATGATACCTCATAGATTTGGCAAATGAGACTTCACTAGACGATGATATGGAAGGTTTCTCCCAAAGCACCATCCTTACGCCTTCCCTTAGAAGCTAGAAGGTGACTTCTTTCAGAGACAATCATTAACGATATCGACTTTATCTACAAACATCTCAATTCACCCAACAATGTCCAAAAGAAGATAAAGATGAAATTCAAAGAAAATTTTCCAAATGGCATGCTCTTACATGCTCTTGAGCACCACCTTAAGTAGTTCCATGTTTGAGAAGTTTCACATTTTGGAGAAGAGTAAAAAGGATGAAATATGATCTCAACGAGGTAAAATCGAGTTCTTGTTTAACCAAAAGTTTGTTGAGTTTAGAAGACAATGATATTTCTTCCATGAAGAAGTATGAGGAATCTCAACGCTCCATAGAGAAACTAAAGTCGAAGAAGAAAAGTAAGGAAGAGGAATTCAACAAACTGATTAATGAGATGGCACAAATGAAGGAACAAATGAAAATTTTAGGAAACCCATCGTGTCTGATACTGCTGCTAATATTATGTTGGAAGTTGAGATGGATGAATCTTGTATGGACGCCTCCCTTTCTTTTGATCAAGCTTTCGATAAGGTGAAAGAACAAGTTCAATTATTGTACGATGATTTGAATCGGAGTGCACATGGGATTTTTAAGATTGTTGAAGATGGGAAGTTGGTGGATGGAGTGGTGGAAGAAGTTAAGGACTAGGGGAAGCCACACCCCTACATGAAGATGATGGCGTGTCCATTCATGATGAAAAAGTTGATTATGTTTGTATTTCTGTCTTTTATGTTTCAATCTTTCAGTAACTTTGCCTGTTTAGTGGTATATTAAATGAAGCCTTAATTTTATCCTTGTTGAGTTGTTCTTTTAAACTCCCTTTGCACTTATCTGTTTTAGCAATTTTGGTTTTTGGGTGAGTCTTAGCCAAACATCAAATTTAATCATTCAGTAAAATACTTATATATCGAATTAGGAATAATGATATTCTTTGTCGCGAGATAATCCCTCTTAAGATTCCTCAAGATCTATTTAAGTCGTTATGATACCCATTAAGGCGCAACAATACCCCTAATGGGGCAACGATACCCTGAAAGGCACATCGATACCCTAAAGAACACAATGCCAGGATGCGTGATCTTTAGTTGAGTTGTAGAACAGGAAAATTTAGTAAATAAAGCGCCTTGTTAAAAACCTGCCTTTGCGGGGTAAATGAATACCACATACCACTTTATTGATATTTTGAATCATAAGTACAAAAAATAAGTCATGACGACTTATACCTTCACCTTATTAGCTTCAAAAGTAAACACTAATTATAGTAATGCCTCAAATTTACCGAGTTCCAAGACACGAGGACAATGTCGCCATTCAATTCTTCTAGTTTATATCTCATATGACAACTTTTCATGTACTCTATAAGACCCTCCCCAGTTGGAGAGGTTTGTGGTGGAGAGATTTGCCAAGAGTCGATATGAGATGTGATTGAGTACGATTTGTTGGCTAGATGTCATATTATCTTGTTATTTGGAAAATAATGAATATTTGTTCTTTTGGAGTGAGCATTAGATGAGGGGATATGATTTGTTTTAAGTTTCCATTGCATATATGAGTTGTCAATTGATGACAATATTTATGCAGTAGATATGAGAATAATAGGGTGAAAGTTGAGGAAGATATTTTTCGCATTGGAGGAGAAACATAGGAGAATGTCATGTTTTTTCCTTCTTCTAAATAATGTTGTTTGTAGGTTAATATAGTTGTTTGTTTGTGTGTGGACCTCTGATTGTGGCATTGGTTGCTCCGTGAGAGTAGAATATCATATTATGACTTATGGAATTTAAATTGATCTAATGTCAACTTAGGAGTTCATATAAAACAAAATTATGCCACTTAAAATCGTTTTATTTGCATGAAAAATAATCAAGAATGTGATCTTATTAAAGGACAATTTAGTAAGGTAAAAAATAATTTCTCCTCTCTAATTAGAGTTTCCATGTGATTGTGAGAAAGATGAAAAAATTGTATGTTCATTTTGGGAATGTGAGTCGTCAAACAAGATTTGTATTTATATGCTTTTATAGTTATATTTTTTACATTAGAATATTATCGATACTCATACCTTAAAATTTTAATGTATTATTCTATGAATAAAAAAGTTTGTTGATGCTTTCAAGTTATCTAATTGATGAATATTAAAATTATTAAAAAAAATTAATGTATTTTTGTCACTAAAAAAATCAACGCTTATGCAATTAGTTGATAAAGTAAAAAAATTAATCATAACCTTGCATTAATAAAGCATAATCTATCCTAAAGCATATTCTATCCTAAAGCATATTCTATCATGAATGTTTGTGGTCTCGTGTTGTTTTTGTTTGTAGTTAATCTGACTCTGTGATTTTCTTGTTTTGAGTTTTCCCAAATTCATCTTTTGCTTCTGTTAATTCTCCTTTTTTATCAATATATATATTTAACTTTTTATATAAATACAAAGGATAAAAATGCATTTTGCATTATGATTGTTACGGCGAAAAAACTCCAAATGCTCGTGTGACTGGTATTCTGGTGACGAGTCACGACAAACAAACAGAAGAAACTATATTATGGACTAAAGCGAATGGCATTTTCGCACTTCACAATAACAACCGAGGACAAATCAGTAACTTACCCTCTTGAACACAATTATTTTGCTTAAGACCGGTTCTCCACCAAACGGAATTGCTCAAACAAAACTGCAAATAAATGATGATTGTTTTCATCTCAACCGCATGATCCACAATTTCACTGTAAAAACTCAACCTCATCTACGTTCTATACAATCCAAACGCGGTTTTTTGGGAATTTATATCCCAACGCAGTTTCTACTAAAAAGAAAAATCCAAACGCAGTCTTCACATTAATCTATCACCATTTCCTTCCATTTCCGACTCCAACAAAAACCGTTCCTTCCGTTTTAATTCCCCGTTAGTTACAACGACGTGTCACTTTCTCGTTTGATTACATAACGGCGCCGTCAAATTTCCCGTTTTCAGATTCCCCCGTCACTATTAACGGAGACAGGACCACACTACCACCACCAAGAGTCCCACGCCACGCCACTACGAAAAAGCAAATATCCAATCCTAACCGTTGAATCCCCTTCGTCATTATCAATTTATCATCACAAATTTTTCGTCGACACGCGCGTAACAACACTCTCCCTCACGCGCCACATTTTTTCACCTTTCTCTCTCTTACATTAACAAAACCAGAAAAAACTCAGAAAACAGCAACACCTGAAAAGTGAGAGAGAGTGAGTGAGGCGTGTAGAATAAGAATTACAGTCTCAGAAGAACGTACTTGCATAGTATCATCAATGGTGATGGCTCAGGTAGGTGTCAGAACACGAGCTCGAGCCGCATTAGCCATGGAAGCCACAAGTTCACCTCAACGAACTACAAAGAGAAGAAAGATCAACAACAGAACCGAAAACCGTAAATTCTCAACCGTCAAACCAAAGATAGCGACGGTTATGCCGGAACCAGAAACGGAGAAATATTCCTCCCGTTCTACCTCCGATGAAGAATTTCCGGCATCGTGTTGTTCAAGCAACGGATCGGTTGAACTCGACGAAGAAAGGATCAAATCGTTAGATCTGGAGGTTAGAGAAACTGAATTTGAAGATTTATTTCCGTTGTTGAAATCTGAAACCGAATTACTACTATATGAAGAACTGAACTGAAGAATTTAATGCGGTTTATTATAGTTTTAATTGAACCTGCGTTTTTGTTACTCTTAATAAATTTTACTACTACTACTACGACTACAACTTGTCACGTATTTAATTTCGTTCATGATGATTCACTTTCACTAAATTTAATGTAACGCATTGAACGTTTCTATTTACAGGTGGAGAGCGCGCAAGGTGAAACGTCGATGTGCAATTGCGATGAAGAAATTGAGAGGTTGTTGAATGGAACGGGTTTATTTATTCATCTCTTTGATTTTGAATTTTGAAATTGTTCAAGTTAGTTACAGTTTTCGTTTTTCAAATTCTTCAACTGTTTTAAGTTTTAATTTAATTCAAGTTTTTGAGTTGGAGAAAAAAAACTTCAAGAAATAAATGATGCTTCTAACAGCCAAAATTTTTTCCGTTCAAAATTGTAGTATAACTAACTGATTCTCTCTCTTTCTTCTCTCTCTTTCTCTCTCTTTTTCGTGTATGTGTGTGTATATAACTATAAGCGTTCGCATTTCATTTCATAATTCTGTAACAGAATATTTTTGTGAGTGTAGGAGAGAGATGAGTCGTTCAAGCGAGTTTCGAGGAAATTCTCATGAGCTCGAGTCAATGGAGACCAATTCTCGCCGTCCGATTTCATCTCCCAAAAATACGCCAACGGAATTCGAGCTTGAGGAATTTTTCGCTGCTGCTGAGAAAGACATTCAGAAAAAGTTTCAAGAAAAGTAAGTTAAAATGAAATCACCAGAAATTTTTTCTCTCAACGTGCTTTATTTTTTTAAGTGTTCATGACGATTCCTCAATAATTGATTTGCAGGTATAATTATGATATTCTGAAGGACGTTCCATTGGAAGGACGCTACGAGTGGGTTCAGTTGAAGCCATGAACATTAACGCTGTGAAACTCTTCGAATTTGCCACTTTGCTGACATTTTTATTTTTTTTTAGTTTAGGTAATTCGAATTTGAATTTAATTTATGTTTAATTGTGAGCTTCAGACTCTTTTATTTAGTGTATAGATTTAATATTTGGGGTGTGGTTTAATTAAGCTAGTTTGTTTGATTCTTTGGAATGGCTTTTACAGAGAAGCAGCTTAGAGAGCAAGCTTGTGCAGAATTTCTGTAAATTTACTCATTGAAGAACAAACGATTTCATTTCATAAGAAACAAACTTATGTTTTCTTTTTAACTAACCCCTCCCTTAAATTCCGTGTCCGTTTCTTTATTTTAACTTTGCCGTTAAAAAGGTACAACAAAGTCAGTGACTGTATGATTGCTCTCTTTTTTTCTTTTCTTTTTTAAATCTCTGAGACTTAAAGTTCTTTCCACCATTACAAAAAAATTGCAAAAAGTGAAACTATAAGATTAATTTATCTATGTATAGTGAAAATGGAGAAATGAAGGATCTGGGTAGAAAGAGTGGTGATGTTTTTGTTTGATTGTTGGGATCGGCAGGGACACGGTGAATAACGTGTAAGTTACGGGCACGTGTCTGAGAGGGTGGAAAAGTTCCCATGTGAAAAGAGTCTTCCAATCTTGGAACCAAATCCATTCTACTTTCACAAAGTACAACAAAATTGGTATAGTAGTGTAAAAAAAGGAATATTTGTTATTATTATTGTTATTTCAGCATATAATTCTTTCACTCTTTTATCCAATTTCTTTAGACTCTGTTTGGTTACATTATTTATTCATAATTTAATTGGTTCTTTTGCATATTGTTCTTCATTTGGCCGTGGTTTTGATTCTACAAATTTTTAATTGATTTTACAAGTATACTAGCTTAGTAGGAACGTGATTGTCACGTTGTACTAGCTACGCGGCATAATAAGGCAATGGTTTATTGGAGTAGCACATGCACATGGTGTTAGGATTAAAGATTCCCTATAGTGTGTGGAATTCATGATGTTGATTGTGGGTTGTGGATCAATACTTTTTCATCAAGCAAAGCAAAATTTCCCAAACCACACTGCTACTTTCCGTTATGCTGTATAATCATTACATATTTCGAATCACAATTGTATGATTCTGTTGAGATATCATATCTCCATTGCGCCAGGAAGATCTTCATTCTTGCAAACTTTTTCAAACTTTTCCTATTTTACCCCTAGTAAATAATTTCCATTTTCTACAAATTACTACAACTGTACTCATCTAAAAGAAGAAAAAATGAAACATAGAGTAGTTTTCAACTCGCCTTTAATTTCGGATTTTTTGACGTACCTGCCCTGGTTTGAAATTGTTTATCCCACAATGCCCTATCTGAAAATTTATTTACAAGGATGCCCTGGTTTTGTGTGAGTTCGTCCTTTGATTGGACGAACCAGTGAAACCCTAGAGGAAGTTCGTCCTTCCCATGGGCGAACTAGTGAAGACGAATTCCCATGCATAAGTTCACCCATCCAATGGGCGAACATGTGAAGGAGTTGGTTTTTTTTTTGTTTTTTAATTTTTTTATTTTTTGTTAATTATAATTAAGATATATTTAAATAATATAATGTAAAAAATATGTAAATAAATTAATATAAATACTTTTAAATAATTTAATATTAAAACTATTTATATTATTTAGTATAAAAACTATTTAAATAGGTTAATATAAAAACTATTTTATTAATTTAATTTAAAAACTATTTTTTTAATTTAATATTAAAAGTATTTTATTATTTGAATTTAAAATTTTTTTTAACAACAAAATGACAAGATTAAATTAGAAGATTAAATAATTGACATAGTTCGGTCACGGAATGACCGAACTCAGACCTAATTTTTTTGTATAAATAAGCGTATGCCAATTTACTATCATTTGTATCAAGTCATCCGATTTACAAAGATGTCTGTGCAAGCTCATGTTTTCTATGGACCTGAGAAAAAATTAAGTGTTTACCTAGATCCGCTGTGGAATTTCAGAACCGTGGTCGCAGCAATTAACAGTGGGTTTCGGCAGCTGGGCGGTCGTCGCGTGACGGTGAGAAAAATTGAGTATCGTTGTCCATATATAACGCTTACTGATGCTAGCCCGGAGGGGACGTACATGTACTACCTAGATCGCATAGAAAATGATGAAGATGTCCATTGCATGTTTTCAACACATAGTGGTGAAGTCAACAGAGGAGTCACAGATCCACTTGTGTTGGTCGCTGTTGTATGTTAGAGTTTATGTTAGCTTCATGAGTTTTATGTTTGTGTTTGTGGATTCACGGATCCACTTTATGTTTGTAGTTCGCTGCTGTTGTTGTAATTTGAAAGTTGTGTTGAATTAAAAATAATTGATTGATCAAATACAAAAGTAGTACAGTATAATTATCTATTCGGTCGGTTTGACGGACCGGCAACATTGGGACATTTTCTACGCATATGACCTATTTCTCTACAAATCCCACACCGTCTCTTCTCTTTTTCTACGTCGTCCATCTCAGTTCGGATTCTACTACTTTTTGGACGCCCCTTTTTATTTCTTCTCATTGAATCGTCGTGGCAGAGAGTGAAACCTTCATATTTTGGCCAATTCTCCTCGTGCGGTAGTCCCAGGAAGCTTTCCTTGTAGACCTTGAATACGTTACGTATTGTGAAGACCTCTGGAATGTGAATTACATAGTCTTGTCGTATGCTAGAACATGCCGCTATCACGTGGGAGCAAGGCAAGTGGAACGTTTGAAATTTTCCACAGTCACACCTACGATTCCTCAAGTCAACGCTGAAAGTACCCTTTGGACGACCATCGTTGTAATTAATCTTTTCTTGCACCATGAAACAGAATCTTTCCCGATCAAATTGCATGACATTGTGTGTGTTAGCCTTGGCTACCTCCTCGGCCATCCCCTTGTTACAACCATCTGTGAAAACTTTGCCTGAAGATAGCATTTTTGTCCATTTGTGTCCTCGTTTACCAAACAGTGAACCCAATCGATAATATGTAGACTGGACTAATGCAGTGATGGGAAGGTTTCTTGTGGCCTTTAATACAGAGTTTATTGCTTCTGCTAAGTTAGATGTCATGTGTCCCCAACGTTGTCCTCCGTCAAATGCTCTAGCCCACTTCTCCCTAGGAATATTGTCTATCCAATTTAAAGCCTCAGCGTTGGATCTTCTGATTTCTCCGCGATAATAATGAAATGAGGCCTCCGTCAATGCGTAACCTGTATCCGTCAATGCGTTAGAAAAAATGAAAAAAAAGTGCTTATATAATTTAGATAATCGAAATTTTTTCCTTACCCATGTTAACTACTAATTTTCGTAGAACCTTGTCCTTAATCTCGCGCATGAAGTTCTGAGCGATGTGTCTTATGCAGTAGACATGCGAAGATGGAGGATTTTGCCAACCGTTTTCTGGATTGTTGTATGCACTTTTTATCGATTCATGCCTATCAGATATGAGACATACATTTGGCTGTGGTGTCACGTGTAATCTTAGGTTCCTCAGAAAAAAACTCCAGGCTTCCTTTGTTTCTCCTTCGACCAAAGCAAATGCCACTGGGAAAATATTTGCGTTGCCATCTTGTGCCACCGCCGTCAATAGAGTTCCTCTGTACTTGCCATACAACCAAGTTCCGTCTACCTGCACAATGGGCTTACAGTATGCGAAACCATTTATACACGGACGAAATGCCCAAAACAGACGAAGGAAAGTTCTTTTTCCGGAGATCTGGGAACCATCACTTGATATGGCCGGTATGGTTTGCAAATCCATAACGGTTCCGGGAAGAAAGGTTTTCATTACCAGTAGCCACTGCGGTAGGTCGTTGTAAGATGTTTCCCAATTGCCGTAAAGCGACTCTACCGCCTTGCACTTAGCGATCCACGCCTTCCGGTAAGATATAATGTACCCGTATTTTTCTAGAATATGGGCAATGATCACTTTTACCTTAAGTGAGGCGTCGCTGTTTACAAGTTCTCTGATGCTATGGCTAACCATTTCTGAACTGAGCTTGTTATGGTCTTGTGCCATAGACGTTGTGGTGCATGTGTGAGACCCAGACAACTTACCAATCACCCATTTCGAGTTCCTTTGTCTAAATGAAGCTCTGCACTTGAACTTGCATTCTTCTTTCTTACACTTAATGACATATCGTTCATTGTCAGACTTACACACCCAATAGTCCACACAGTGTGTTATGTGCCAATGCTGCAGGGCGAGGATGCAGGCTTCCTTGTTTTCAAACTCCATACCTATATCAATTCCGTCTCCTATATGGCTTTGAATAGCATTTCCAAAGACAGAGGTTGTGTCGTCATATTCGGCGCAAATATTTTGCATGTGTGTCGGCGGGTTATACAAACTTACGGGTTGTGCGCTGATCGGTTGCGTAGACGGGACAACTATGTCTTCATCTTCATTGTCTTCGTCATCACTGTTACCAAAAATATCTTGCATTGTGATTTCCTCAAGAATATCGTCATCACTTGGTTCGCCCACCTCCTCATTGGGTATGAAAGGTAAATTATTTTGCGTTGGTTCGTCGTCGGATGTTTGGCTCATCCCGTACAAGTGTGACTGTGTGTCCTGCGTTGGAAATGTTTCGGGATTTTGTACTAGTCGGACATACACCTCAATTGTAGGTAATTGACCAAACATCATGTGGCACCGAAACATTGCCTTCACATCCTCGTTGGTTTTTATTGGCGTCATAATGTAGAATATCGTACAGTCGTTTTCATTTAGGGTGGGATGACGATAAATGATTTCCTCAACACAGCGTGCCAATTTGGTTTCCATTCTATCTTTAAAATGAAAAAAATCTGAATTGACATGAATTTTGAAGGCATATGTATCTGTATTGAAAAACGAGAATCCAATAGGAGTGTTTGTTGAAACAACACCGTTAAAATGGCATGTGGTAATTATGTTTCTCTGAGACATTTCGGAATGCTGAGAAGTTTAAATTTGT